CGCTGTCACGTGGCGTCGAGGTGTGTGGGGGTTGGCAGTGCGCCAGAGCCGGGGCCCGAAATACCTGACATGAGTGCGGAGCGGGCGACTGAGACAGAGACGGCGCAACGCGGCGCATGGCGCGACACTCCGTACCGACCGGCGGTTGAGACAGAGGCGGCGTATGTGGCACTGGAACGCCGTACCGACCAGCGGATGAGACAGAGACGGCGTATGTGGCGCTGGAACTCCGTGCCGACCAGCGGATGAGACAGAGGCGGCGTAAGTGGCAATGGAGCTCCGTATCGACCAGCGGATGAGACAGAGGCGGCGTATGTGGCACTGGAGCTCCGTACCGACCAGCGGATGAGACAGAGACAGTGTATGACGTGCTGGAACTTCGTACCGACCGGCGGCTCGCACGTGACAGGCAAGGGAAGGTGGACAACCGCAGCAGAGCACAGAAGCGCTGCTCGAGAACGCGCCTGGAGAATACCGCAACCGTCAACTTACTAGCAAGCTCCTGGAAGCCTTTAGTTAAGAGACTGCAATTTTCCCTACCGCCATGTGCGGTGCGTGGCCCGGTTTGGGGTGAGTCCGGCCCGGCTGAGCCGGTCGCTGGGCGTGGTCGTGCCAGCCCCTGTCCCAGAACCCGTCCTCCCTTTCGGGAACGATCGGCCGGCGGCGCGGCCGGCGGTGAGGTAGCTGCTCCGTCCGGTAATTCCCATGGGCCGTCCTAATTGCCCCGCCCGCCCCCGCCGCCTTTTACTGCAGACTCACCGAATCCAGAACCGGTCGGGCGGCGACCGTGCTCCAGCCTGTAAACTGCGCGGCCCGCCCGGCCGACTGCGTCCGCCCGGGTCCACGGCCGGGCGCCGGCGCAACCACACGTGGAGCCGAGTAGCGTGGGTCCGCTGCCTCACACCCCACCGAGCGTCGGCAACCGGCAGCGGGCCGGCTCGAGCGCACCGACACCGCCCGCCGAAGGCCGCTCACCGGCGGCGGGCCGGTGACGAAGGTGCTGAGAGTGGAAGATGGAAATGTATGCTGGACGATGACGCAAGTGTTCCCTAAATGGCCTGCGACATCCGGCCTTGTCCGGCAATAGTCTCATGAATGCACGGAGGCGCCACAATGCATACGTACAGCAAAAACCACTGGGAGCAGCCAGCTCCGTCCTCCTTGCTCCGCCGCGAGCGCTCGGCGATGCCATGAACCAAGTCACCGCGCTTGAATGCGACCGGACAGCGCCGAGAACGCCGGCTGAGGCCTGGCGCCGTGATGACGGCGGATGGCCGAGGGGCCTCCGCTGACCGCGTCCAGCACGCTGCACTATGGCCAGCTCGGTGTCCTGACTGTGCCCAGCCCAATGTCCTGGCTGCGTCCAGCCAAAAGTTCTGATTGTGACTAGCTCGGAGTCCTGACTGCGTACAGCCAGGTGTCCTGTCCTGACTTGTCCAGCTCGGTGTCCTGTCTGGACCGTGTGCAGCCTGGTGGCCCGTCCTGTGTCTAGCCCCGTATCCTCTGCAGTCAAGTCTGATGATGTCCCTGCCGTGCTGGTCCGTCCCCGACCCTGTCCCAGTCCCGCCCGGCGGCCGTGATGTCCCTGCCTCGTCTGACGTGTGCCCCCTGTCCATGGCCCGCCCGGCGTCCGTCCCTATCCCCGTCCTAGCCGTTGTGTCCCTGCTCCTCCTCAGCCAGGCGCCGCGCCATTTCTGTCGTCTGACATGGGGCCAGTCTAACATTTGGCGCCCTCACCCTGCTGGCGCCTGTCCAGCAGCGCAAACAGGTCTGCAAAAAGCCGAACCCACGCCACGCCCACGGAGGCGACCCGAGAACTGCCCGATGAACTTCATCGGCCTGCTTGGCACCCGGCAGACGGCCAGTTCAAGGACAAGGCTGCCATGATCGCAGCGCAATCCCGTCGTCCGTGAAGGCGAAATGCCCAGAGGTCATGCAAGGTCACATACCGTCAGGCAGACGGCGGCCTGAGACGAGTGCACTGTGTGATAGTGATGCGATTTCCCGCAGACAACGGAATCAGTCAGCAGAGTAAACGGTGGGCCGGCATTTGAGGCATTCCTTTCCGCGCCATACCAAGCCTGCAGACGACGGAACCACAGTCAGCATGAAGTGGTGATCACCACTGAGGCATTGCTTTCCACGCAATACCACGGCCTAACTTTTGTTATGCCGTTGGAGGGCAGCCAGTCGGCCCTTGTCCCGCCCCGCCGTCCTGCTCTGCATCGAGCTCAGCTCCGGCTGTGGCCGCGAGGAGGGCGGCAGTTGCACAGCTCAGGCCAGCCGCCATCGGCCGCCACTGCCGACGCGTCACGATGCACGGAGGCACGACCCGCAGCCGGCCCCGACCGTGAGCGAGCCGCGGCCGCGCCGGTGGCGGAAGTCGACCAGCGCTGCTGCAGTCCGGCCGCCGCCGGCCGGACCACATCGCTGGCGGCTAGCCAAGGCGGCGCGTGGCGGCGCACAGAGCCGGCACGCGCCCACGGCAGGCCTCTGGTCTCGCTGTCGCTCATGCCACCCAGCCACCTACGCCGCATTCCCAGAAGAAAAGTGCTTGTCAGTTCTTGTCGGAAATCTTACCACGCCATTTCTGAGCCGTGGGGCAAAGTTTTCGCGCTTCTGTCCTAAAAGAGGACTGACAAGATTCTGAGGAATCAAAAATGCATCGCAACCAGGTCACTGGTATGCACAAACACATACAGTGGGCGACCCGACCGCCCGGCGCGACCAGCGCTTTTCGTCGACAGCCTTCGGTGTTTCGTGGCGTTTACCCCCATGTCATAGCGTGAGTCCAGCCGGCTTCAGATCGCGGTGAGCAGTTATGCGCGTGCAATTTCCCCGTCGAATGCGGCAACTGCGATGCTGCCGCTCCAACTGCGATACTGCCGCAGCCCGGTTGGCTGAATCGTACCCGCATTACGATTCACCCATCCGTGGTAGCGTGGAATCGAGTCACTTTAAAGGGTGTTCCGCATTCTGTATGGGGTTTAAATTGAAGTCGCCATTTTGAGATCACTCGGTGCAGGTCACAGCCCTTCCCTTAAGACCTAAAACGCTCCCTTCCCGCTTCTGAGCTGCACGCCGGCGAAGATGAGCAGGCCCTTTTTCGTGCAGCCAGTTTCGATGCCATTCAGGCATGCATGATGTCACAGAAAACTTCATTCAAACCCTGTCACTTCATAGGTCATGGGGCGTTCAAGGCCAAAAAGGTTAATATCGTCCGAGTCGTTCAGGATCCGGCGTTCGTGAGCACGACTTTCAAATAATAGTGGGCGTCAGTGGGCTGTCCAAGTTTCAATCAGGGATCACGTTTGTGCCAAATACTATAAAAAGGTTGAACATAATTGCTGCTTTTTTACGAACAACTGGTAATCCAATAACTTAAGAAAAGCGCGCGCCATAACCAACTGCATGAATACAAGCAAGTTTCTTAAAGCTCACGGCTAAATACGTAAGAACATCACCAGAAAATAACGTTTTGAGGAGCATCTTTCCGAAATGGAGAAACTTAGTCTGTCAAGAGCGGTCTTAGCCCCTTCAAGCGAATGTTTCACCTTCGAATACATTGAAACACGCATCAGGTATGATGAGACAGTTCACTAATAACTATTGGTATATGCTTAAGTAGAAAAGACTGCTCTAGTAAACACAGTCTGTCTGTTTAGTAAATATGCTCCCCAATACGTCATTGTTTATATCATCGTACTTTGCACAACATTGATGGAGAACCAATTGACGGCCGTTGTACCTTGAAATTGTGTTCAGGAACGCCAGATATGAACCACCCCACAATTCTATCTTTATTAGCCTTGATTGGCGCGCGGCTTATGGAATAGCAGGATTTGAATGATATCATTATGACGCCATGAATGCAGATGTGGCTGAAATACTCTCCCCGAAATGGTATCCACATCTTCGCGAGCGTACAGCTTACAAACTACAGCGATTTAAGCCTTTCGAATGTCAGGGCTGTAAACTGCATCAAATGATCTTCGAAATGGCTATTTCAGTTCAAAGCCCCATACAAATATGGAACACACCCTGATAACAACGTGCATTCAGTATAACAGTTTTAACATTATACCAAAAGCAAGAAGTAAGCTTATCTCATCACGTTTGATGCTTCCTTCAATATCTTCCAATGAAGAACATTTCCTTTAGCGTGCTCGCCATTTGCCTTGACAGAATGGTCTGCAACCAGTGGCAGAGGCCCCGCTCAAGGTCAGGTGACGTCACAGGGCCGGACGGACCAGGCTGGCCATTGCGGCGTGTTCAGCTTTCGCCGCAAAACTCTGCCGCTGACCGGGAGTTTTAAGATCGGATAGCAGGGACAGTGCCCGTACAACGCGCGCTACTTAACGTGGACTCTGATCCCACACAACCACCCCATCAGAAGGCACGGAGATAGCAAAAAAAATGTTGTACCGATAGGTTACAACTAGAATACAGTGCCGTGAATTCCTAGAACACAACGAACAACACCATCCAAGCATGGATTGGGGGCATTCCCCCACTGCAATTGGAGATCCGCCTCCCCAGCTGTACCTGGACCCCCACCTCCCCAGCTGGACCAGGAGACAAGCCTCCCCAGCTGGACTTGGCAAGCCGCCTCCCCAGCTGGACGGGGGGACACGTGTCGCTAGCTGGATTTGGAGACCTGCTTCCCCAGCTGGATTTGAAGACCCGCTTCCCCAGCTAGATTTGGAGGCCCACCTCTCCAGCTGGAATTGGGGACCCACCTCCCCAACTAGACTTGGAGACCTGCCTGTCATGTTGGAATTAGAGACCTGCCTCCCCAGCTTGACTTGGAGACCCACCTCCCCAGCTAGACCTGGAGACCCGCCTCCCCACCTGGACTTGAAAGCCAGCCTACCCAGTTGGACCTGGGGACCCCTCCCCAGCTGGACTACGAGACCCGCCTCCCCAGCTGGACTTGGAGACCCGCCTCCCCAGCTGGTCTTGAAAGCCAGTCTTCCCGCCGGACTCGGGGAATAGTCTTCTCAGCTGGACTCGTCATTCCGTCTCCGCGGCCTCTGCTTAAGCGCCGCAGCGCCGGACCCACCTCCCTTGGTGGGCACGCGGTGCTGCGAGTGCTGCGACCGATAGCCGGTGATCATCTCGAAGCTGCCGTCGTCCTTCTTCAGCGGGAAGCAGATCTCGATGACGTGATGGCACGGCTCCATCATCTGCAGGATGCCGCGCACCTTGAGCGCCTTGTCATCCCGCGAGACGCGCGACTTCATCGTGTCGACGAGATGCGGCTCCACCAGCTGGCAGCCGCGGTGGAAGAAGTACTCCACCATCTCGAAGAACTCGGGGTCCTCCTGCTCCGGGATCGTCTGTCGGCGACGCGAAACAGTTATGGTCAGCTACTGCCTTTGCGCGGTGTTCGGTCCACTCACAGTGCGGTGAGCGCAGGCCTTCTCTAGCCGCCGTACATGGAAGCAGCAAAAGCGGTGCGTGGAAGGAGCTCCAGGTCTCCACAGCGGGAGCTGGAAGCATATCTGTGAAACTGCGACAACCGCGGCGCAGGGGTGACGGAGGTGGTCAGGATCATGGTCCAGCTTAACACCAGTGGTTACAGCCTGGGCGGGGCCACAGGCGCCCTCACAACAGCCTTGTAAACTCTCTGAACGACTACAGCAAACACTCCGGTCTCATCTACCGGAGACACCACAAGACGGCATCCATCCCGATATCCCTGCTCATTACTCGTGATCTTCGCAAAGCTGAAACAGCCCTCCCCCTTCGCAAAATTTTACATCTTCAGTGTCTGAAAGCATTTCTGAAACATGCCACGCAGCCGCCGATCATCATCATTATTTACGTATCTCCGCAGGGCTGAAACAGGCCTCCCCTTCGCAAGATTTTATACCTTTAGTGGCCGACTCTTTTCTGAAACATGCCACGCCACTACCAATCACCATCACATAGAACGCCTGTTCGGCCTACATAAGAGACCGTTCGGACAAGGCCGGCGTGAGGCGGTGTCAGCGGCGTCGGCGGCCGACTCACCGCCAGATGGTCGGGGATGACGTAGGTGCCGATGGCCCGGGCCGTCTGGCCGCTGGCCGACGCCTCGCCGGCCAGCAGACGGCCCGCTGCCTTGCCCAGCACACGCAGCATCTGACGGACACGGCCCACGACAGGTCAGGACACTTCGGTGTTCAGAGATGGGTTGGTGGATAGTTAGATTGGGACACTGCCTGTGACAGGTCAGGACACTTCGGTGTTCAGAGATGGGTTTGTGGGTAGTTAGATTGGGACACTGCCTGTGACAGGTCAGGACACTTCGGTGTTCAGAGATGGGTTCATGGATAGTTAGATTGGGACACTGCATCTGACAGGTCAGGACACTTTAGCGGCCAGAGATGGGTTGGTGGATGGTTAGATTGGGACACTGCCTGTGACAGGTCAGGACACTTCGGTGTTCAGAGATGGGTTCGTGGGTAGTTAGATTGGGACACTGCCTGTGACAGGTCAGGACACTTCGGTGTTCAGAGATGGGTTCATGGATAGTTAGATTGGGACACTGCCTGTGACAGGTCAGGACACTTTAGCGGCCAGAGATGGGTTGGTGGTCTGGGTTGGTCAGATTTGGTGGTAGGTTAGAATGCCTGTCTCTATATCCACCCATCCTTGGGGTCAAATCACCTCAGACACTCGCTGTCTGCCCTCGACTGTGGTGGCCTGCAGTCGGCGGCAGCACTGAGGGTCAGGTGATGCCGCAGAGCAGAGCAGACTGTACCAAGCATTAAGACACCTTTAAATTTCACTACACAATCCTACCACTGAAATGACATTTCATGATATGCAATTGGGCACAGGGCTCATGAAACAACAAGCACTGGTCAGAGCAGACTCTGATCCCAGACCCTGACAGCCAGGTCAGCACTGGGCATGTGACAGTGAGACACTCTGTGACAGAGCATGTGGAAACAGAAACAAGGGCAGTAGCTATGATGTCATGGAGGCTAACATCAATATATATAGGCTGCAACACTGACAGCCAGGTTGACATGGACTGGGTGACTGGGCCATTCACAGTTCACAAGTCCTGGTACCCCTGCTTGTTATGTTTGAGGATGATACAATTGTGCCTACTAGAGAGTGACCATGTATATGGTCCATGCATGTCACCAATGAGATGATGGTCATTGCCTGATGGAATCTAGCATGGCAATTGGTGAGGAATTATCACTGTAGTAGAGGTCACAACTATATTACTCTAAAGATGTGCTTCTTCCTGAGCCCCAGATTATACTACAAAGTGATTGGTTGCTTCCTTCTAAATGTCCAGCCTTACTGGACATATTTGGAAAGTACATGTTACATGCTCAGAGTTCCATCAAGAGCAGTCAATAATCTAAGACAGGGCAGACAGTCCCTAGTAAGACTACCAACATACCCTGCAGGGCCACACAGTTGGCTGAAACATGCAATAAAACTTTGAAAAACCTTAACTTGTCAAGGGAGAAGCACACAACTTTTCAAACAGCCTGCCTCACCAAGAGACATTCCAGTGCCTTAAGGTATGCAGGATAAGATAGATATACACAGGAGATGTAGAAGACACCTACAAGACTGAAACTGTAGCAGGCAGGCTGAAGAGACCCCCTATTTTCATGACATAAGCAGAAGCACCAGAATGAAAGCGTATCAGTGCATGCCAATGAATGGAAGCTACCAGCAGCAACACAGAAATAAGTTCAAGGTTCTTCCTGAATTAATAATAAGTGGCATTAGGCTACCAGCTAAGCTTGCATACCTTGCATATGCAATGAACATCTAAAACTGTCCAAAACTCTGAAATGTCTGGTTGATCCATAACTACCAAGCCAGACTCTGCAGGCAATGGGTAATGGCAAAATGCAACCCTATGTCCTGTGCATGCCTTTTGCATGATATGGTCACCAAAGAACAACAATGAGAAGAGGATGAGCCCTCGAGGGTTCACAATAGAAACATCAGATATGTGCAGCCTGCAGGCACTGGCATGGCAAATTCAACAAATTCAATCTTAATCCAGGCTTATCATCCTACTTATTAAGCTACATATACTATAGGTACATATATTACCTATATATCACACTGCTCCTTATGCAGAGATTGTAGCACTGGCCTTTGAGAAGCACCTGAGCCACAGGCCAACTTTCAGTGCAGTGTTGGTACTTGGCAGGTAATGTGGGCACACGGCAAATGGAGTCATGCACTGGTTGGAGCTCCTTCTCAGTGCTTTCACATAGGTGACAGTGAATCTCTTAACAGGTACACGAAATAAGAACATAAGATGAGACATGAACAACGATGAGAAGCGGATGAGCCCCCAAGGGTTCACGATAGAAACGTAAGATATGTGCAGCCTACAGGCGCTGGCATGGCAAATTTTCGCATAGAGTACATCAATTAATGCCATTTTTCTGTCTTCCTATGCCTCACCTGAATGGGCTTGAAGAGTACAACCCACTAAAACCCAGACACTGCCACCACACGCTCGACCAGTGAAGAGAGGCGGCGGCTTGACGTCGTGCAAGTGATAGAGTCAAGGGGACAGAAATTCCTTTAAATAGTGATTCGATCAATCTAAGATTTCCCTTTTTACTCCCACCAATGACGTCACTGAAAATTTTGTCTTTGGCCGATGGGCGCATACATTTCTTTTGAAGGGCCCTAGGATCAAGGAAGGTATAGCAGACAGAAGGGGCAGTAGGGCCAGTAGAGGGGGGGGGGGAGGATAATAACATGTTCTCCAAAAGTTGGGGAGACCCGTTTCTCCCAAGCTACAGACATTGTAAACTAACCGTAAATTATGAAAATTGAGATTAAAAAGAAGGCATAATTGAGCCAGAGAATAAAATCTTGGGCTCAGAACATCGTTCTGTACATTGAGAGGCCCGTTCTCTAGTGCATGAGGCCACCTTTATAAGCAAAGTAGCTAACGCTTTAGATCAGGAGGCCCCATTCTGTGTTAAAGAGGCCTCTGCTGGCTCAGGAGGCAAACGGTATAAGCTAATAGGCTCTGCTCTGGGTTAGGATGCTCCCTCTTTGCTTAGAAGACCCAATTTCTGTGGCAGCAAGCCTCTTTCATGCGTCATATGGTCGCGATACCAAACCAGCAGAGGCCCCGTTTTGCGATAAAGAGGCCCTTGGCTAGATTTGGTATGGTAAGCAAAGAGGCCCTTGGCTCTTTGTTAATGGTAAGCATCCTGTTCTGGATTAGGAGGTCCCACTTTGCACGAGGAGCCCCTTTTAGGTTACCAAGGTCCTTTGATAAATAAACAGAAGGCCCCTATTCTATTTCTGGTTCAATTGTCGACATCTATCTACTTGGATATAATGCACGTCACAGTTTTCATAAAGGCGTACTTTGCCCCCAGAAGCCCTTGGCCTGACAATTTGACATTGACCAGGGAGACCCCCCCCCACCCCCCCCCTGCTGATGAGAAGTGCCCGTTTGTGTCCAGGAGGTCCGCTGAACAATTTTTCCCCTTCAAACTCAAATTCGTGGGGCCGCCTCTGCATAGGGTAGAATAGAGTAGAAGTATAGAACGTGAGTACCTCCCACTAACAAGGACTAAACCGAATGGAACCGGGGACGGAAACAGCTAGCATATTACCTGCACAGGACACCACATGGACTAAACCGGTTCTGACAGATACCTATGGACGCAAAGTGTGACGTGTGGGGCATGTCGTCGAGTCGTCGTTGAGCCAGCGACCTATTATCAATTTGTTATTTTTTGGGGGGTGTATTCAAGATGGCGCTGGTTGTACGTAGCTTCCATAAAACTGTTCGCATGCACACGGACAAATTCCGACGGAAAACTGAGGTGGACAATTACGAAGAAGTCCAAATGCTATACGCATGCATGAAGTTTAGCACGCCACAATGTGCTCAAGTGGCTCTTACGGCAGAATAATGAGTTTGACCTCCCCCTACTCTGAAACACGAAATCCTACATTCGCTTCTGCTCTCACCTGTCTGTGGTGTCAAACACGAAGTCCTATATATGCTACTGCTCTCCCCTGTCTGTTATATCCAACCTTTAAGAAGACTGTACAGAAGCTGGAGAGGATCTGGATGGGTGTACCCGACCTGAGTGGTTCGCAGAGTTATGACGCAAAGGGGCATGACAGAGCAGGGGAAGGCAAGCCAGGGCCAGGACAGGACAAGAAGAAAAGGGGCAGGAAACAATTATATAACCTGTTGCATTTTTCTGTCCTGTTCTGTTCTTTTCCGTCCTACCCTGTCCTAAGCAGAGGATCCAGGATTTCGCAAATGACATACGATGTCGGCGGCGCGTAAAATCAAGTTCGATGACTGTCCTTAAAATTTGTCGGCGCATATCTGACAACTGCTCTAAAGCTCAAGCGCTAAGGGAACTGTCATCGTGCAGATCTTGAACTTTGCATGCTCGAAGTAATTTAGTCACTCCCGTACACGCGGGCAGGCGGAACGGCCTGGTACTCACGAGCACGTTTGGAGATTTCGGCAACGTGGTAAAATTCCTCTGACTTCATCGGAGAAGCTCAGGACCAATGTGGAGCGCCCCGAAGCGATCAAGAGTGTCCGGGTCGATTCACATATAGGTCCCCGTCAACGGCGTGGGCCCCCCGAAAAAAAATAAAAAAAGAAGACCAACAGGAGCGGCACCTGAGCATTTGAGGGTGCTGCGGCAGGCCAACAAAGAGGCTTTCATCAACAGGGTAGGGTCCTCAGGGTAAGCGAGGAGAACCCAAGACCAATGTAGTGAGCCCCTCAATGATCGGGAGTGTTCGGTAGGTTGATTTATAGCGTTCCGACCAGAGTGCAGGGCCCTCCGAGCAAATGAAAAGAACCCAAGACTGATTTACGTGAACTAATGAACTTGACCCGTCGAGATTGCATTGGCAGATGAATAATAGCCCGAGACAAAGGATTAGGGTCCTTCGCGTCAATATCAAGTGCCCAAGACGATTGTACGCGTCACCGTGTGATCAAGAGCGCCCAGGATAGCGCAATGAACCCCAAGATTTTCCCAAACACTGCCCTTTCAATCAGCGCAGAATCACATGTTTCTGCTCGTGAGCTCTTCATTTTCGCTTGCGACTGCTCTTGCGCCTGTAGGCACGAAGACGTCCAATTTTGCCACGTTTTAAAAAAAGCCTGCGTCTGTTCGGCCGGCTGTGGGCCTCTTCAGAGTCTGTGGCGGGGGGCGGATCTAGCCTGGAGTTTTGGGAGGAGGGGAGGGGTAACCGTCCGTTGCCATCTGGCTGGTGTGGGATCCGAGGTCCAGTGCATGGTGCCTTCCGCGAGTACCTAGTAGGGTCACCATTCAAGCAACGAAATGTTTTTGAATCTTCTATATACAGTATGCATGTTTACGAAGCTCGTAACCTAAGATATTACTTTCAAGAGTCAACTGGTCAGATGGGGTTCATTGCAAATGGTGATCAGGGTGGTAAACGGTGAAACAGGGTGAGCAGGCCGAACAAAGGATGATTTTAGTGGCCACGGAGCGATGTGGCGGCTGCAGCTCGCTGCCAACTTTTATTCATGAAGTTTTTTCCGAAACGGAAAGAAATGTTTGGTACCGCACGATCAAAGTTAAAACAGACGGTAAGTAGGCGAAACTCTTATGAACTTCTGGAATTTTTTTTTTGGGGGGGGTAAAACACTCAGTTTTTTGGGGGCCATGGCCCCGTGCCCCCCCCCCCCCCCAGGATCCGCCAATGTCTGTGACCCATTTGGAGCCTGTGGGCCGCTTCGGAGGCTAAGGACTCCTTTGGGGCCCAAGGGGGGGGGGGCATGACTACGAGGCCCTCTCTGGATCCGGTACCGGTCCTATCCAATCTTACCCAGCCCTGTTCTGCATTGTGTTCTGTACCCCCTCGCCTCGTCCTGTCCTGTTCTGCCCTTACCCCCACGTCTTGTCGTGCTGTGCCCTGCCCTGCCCCGTCCTATCCTGTCCTGATCTGACTAGCTCTAGCTTGCCTCATCCTGCTTTGCCCTGCCCCCCTCCCCCCTGCAACCTCCTACCATACCCCATCCTCTGGCCAGTTCTGTGCTTTTCCTTCTGTCTCCTGTCTCCCGTTCTGTATACGGTTCACTTAACCGCCACCTTTCCCCGCCTCTCACGCATCACCCCAACAAACCTCACCCCTCTCGCACCGCCTCTTACACCTCGCCCCATCAAACCCAACCCATCGCGCACCGCCTCTTACACCTCGCCCCATCAAACCCAACCCACCGCGCACCGGCTCTCGCACCTCGTGCCAACAAACCCAACTCATCCTGCACCGCCTCTCGCACCTCACCCCAGCAAACCCAACTCATTGCGCACCGCCTCTCATACCTCGCCCCACAAACCCAACTCATCGCGCACCGCCCCTCACACCTCGCTCCATCAAACCCAACCCATCGCGCGCCGCATCTCACACCTCGCTCCATCAAACACAACCCATCGCGCACCGCATCTCACACCTCGCTCCATCAAACCCAACCCATCGCGCACCGTATCTCACACCTCGCTCCATCAAACCCAACCCATCGCGCGCCGCCTCTCACACCTCGCTCATCCAAACCCAACCCATCGCGCGCCCGCCTC